GCCGACTATATTATAGCAAAATTATCATTTGGGCAGCTTTACTTAGTGCATAGGTTGCCACTTTATTAGTAAAATTTGTGGTGATTTTAGAAAAAATTTCTTAATTCCGGCCTATTCCGACCCAAATTCGGGCCGATTTGCCGAATTTTGGTGGACCCACTAATCTATTCCCCTACCGTAGACCTGGCGGATGCTGGGATGATATAGAATTCGAAATAAACACATGATCTTCCTAAATCCAGTCAGAGTCACTGACTCGAAGTTTAATTCTAGCCAAAATCGAAATAAATCGAAATTTTTGCCTAAATCGAAGTTTTAAGTCGAAATTTTACTGCCACTAACTGGCCGGTCCCTAGGAACTGTAAGATTTTCGGCGACACACGGTTATCACGTGCAATTTTTATGATAAAGTGCGTGTTATAACAGAACGCGCATGGGCATTATTTCAAAACAAAATAAACCTACCATTTTGAGATATCCCGATTTTCGAAATAGTACCAATACCAATTATTTCGAGAGTTTATGATACATCCCACATCCTGGTGCTTTTCGGAAAATTAATCCAAAATATTAAAATTTTCACTTTCAGAGTTGACAATTGAACAAATTGTGTGAATTGACATATAAAACTATCCAATTCATATACATAACTGTTTTTAAATAATCAGTATATTTACTAGTAGAACTGAAACATGTAATCAAAAATAATTTAAAGATTCAACAATATAGATGAGTTTATATAATAGTATAATCACTACTATCTTGTCTCAATTAAATCATCTTCATCCTCCTCTAATTCATCTCCTTCATCAAGGGTATCTTCCACTTCAAAAGTGTTTGGAGGAACAGAATACAGACGAACTACAGGCTAAATGTATATATTAATAATGGGTGTTAGTTTAAATATCTTTTGGATTATTGTATATTGATTTATGATGATTTTACCTTGTTTGGATCTTTAAGTAATACATATCTGCCCTCTGGTAACTTCATACAAAGATCTATAACAGTTCGCACAATACCCCATCCGTTAGAAACTGACATATTCATTTGCGCGGCAAAGTCCCGAGGTTTATAATATTGTGTGCCCAATATCACATGACGACGATTGTCTTTTGGACTAGCGCGCGAAACATATCTACATCAAACCATAGAAGTCGGTTGATTTAATAATTATTAATATGAAATTCCAATTGTAAATCATTACCCTAATTTCATCTGATCTGCACCAGCCAAAATGCTCTGAACTGCCCATCGAGCTAATTTACAACTATTATTTTTCATTTCAGTAGCAACAACGGCACCTCGCTGTGTGTCTAATTTTTGCCGCCAATCTAATGCTCCACCTGCACCTTGAGAACGAGAATCGAATTCATTCAAAGCTTTTATGGTGATATATGAATCGTCACCTGCAGGAGTTTTTACAGCCGAATCTAACTGCGTACGAACAATAAGACGTACGTCTTCTTCTTCGCTAATCCCGAGGTCGAACCGACGATAGCGATAAGCGCATGGTGCCATAAATTCTAAATCATCAGAACTAGCAAAAGGATTTGGTTTCTCAAATTCATACTTTTCTGACTGTTATAATATCTTGGTCGATCAGTATATTAATCATTGACAATAAAACAAATAATTAGTATTTAAATTATAAATACCTCATTAACTACTTGCATAGCAAAGCAATGATTAATGATCGTTGCTTCCATTGAAAGAGCAACGGGTGAATTGATGTTATCTTTATCTCCGGTTTCAATCGGTGGATCTGCAGCATTTTCATTAACGGTAACGTAATCTATGGATAATTAAGGTATCAAGAAATTTTTTACTAATCCATAATGTTACGTTTTAATCGAAAAATATCAGAAATTTACACACCATTAGATCGCTTATCGAAGAAAAGCTTGTTACCAGTACGATTGATAACTATATCCCATGGATATACAGACCTCGGAGCACACATTAATAGACTCAAAATAGTATCCGTGGCAAATATTGTAGCTTCATCATCCTTTGCAAGCTAATTTTTCAAACAAAATATTCAAATTTAAATATCGCAGTAAGAAATAATGTGAATAATTTAAGAATTTCGAAATGCTACTTGTTCGATAATTAGATCTTTGGATGTGGTAATAAAGTACCGAACACGCTCATTTGGCATCAATGGCTTTTCCATTTTCGTGTTAACACGATCATAGTTCTTATCATAATAATACAAGAACCCGTGAGAAGAACTAAGAAAAAGATATAAAAGTTAAAATCATACTTTGCGAAATAACATGAAACAACGTTATATTTACATACATATCTTCGCCTTCGTCCACATCCAGGTTTAATTTTGATAACCGATTGAATTCAATTTCTTCAAGTACTTGCCACTCAGGACCAACGTTAACTGACGCATCACGTGCACGCTGGGGCTAAAAGTGTATTAAGATGCAAATGTTAAATAATTAAAATTGATGTCGCAAATATTATTGATTTCATACCTTATCATAATCTTTCCAGCCGAATCGTCTTTTAACATTGGCAGCAGCTGTTTTATTTCCAGAAGTTCCTCGACTTGTCACGCCTAGTCTTTGATATTGGCCATTCCTCTGTTGACGTTGTGTGTTCCGTGTACCAGGGCGGCTCTGGAACAATTAACATGATAAAAATAGATTGTATATAGGAAACTTTCTTTATGACTCAATACCTTTGTGCCTCCGGTGGTTCTATATGAACCCTTCTTTTGAGCAGCTGAACGATTATCCACGACAGAAAAGGAAGCTTCGTCCTCAGCATGTGTGTAAGAAAAGGCACTAGAAGCACCATAACCGTACGCTGTATATTGATCTACCGTACAGACAAAAGGTCGAACCATTAATATCTGGATAAAATGCACAAGTTTGCCATGAGCTTTCTGGGCAGGGTAACTGGATTTGACACGTGTCTCTCGTCAAAAAATCTTAATGCTTTCGATTCCTTAAAATACATGTTAAAAAAGTACCTCGATAGCGATAATTAGCTCTTGCTCTTCCGGTTGTCTCCTTTTCTTTCTGTTCTGGCGTAGACCAATCAGCAATCCGACCTAGTTTGTCAGCTTTACTATAAGGTGCATATGGTATATCTCGAAATTTTTCCGGTAACATCGCAGGGGAAGGACCCCAGCCATTTTCGTTGTCAATTATTTCTGGAAGTTTGAAAATTGGCTCATCCATTTTTCTTTCGAAAAAAAAAATAATCAGCGATTATATATAATCACAATAGAATTGAATACTGCTTTATGGTTGGTTATATGCACTAACATGTGAAAATATGCCAATCAAACTGGGGAAGTTCACGGACACATCTTCCCCTGTATCGCCACCAAAATTCCACCCACACGTGATCATGCGTAGCACATCGATAAAATTCTTTAAAGTTTATATACGTTAGGGTTAGGGCTCATATTGAGGTTATA